TAGCTGTTGCCTGGCTCTATTGTCCCTGGACATCAAGGCCCCACTATAGGATGGCCTTATAGGACTTGCATCACTTTCTGGYGTYAGTGGRGAAAAGGGAAATCCACTGAAATGGGAATGGAATCCCATAGGRGATGATGGGATACTTCCAGGTGGAGTTAGTGTTTCTAATGGATTGGACGTCATCACTGGATGCTGAAATACACCAATGATTATAGAGAACATGATGATCAGTATATACCATCAAAACACAAGATTATTTTGCAGTTTCATTACAGCATTACAATATAAATTCACGCAAAGCACATTTCCTCGAGARTAATAAGGCAATATACGAAAATGATAAAATCACCATGGCAACTTACGTTGCTATGACAACCATTCCAAACTGGTTGATTTTCATTTCTATTTCTCAAAGTGAAAAAAGTTTGAACCATATTTTATTTTATTCGTATATCTACAGAGCTGCAGTGAATAGCCTTTTGTAATATATATACTGTATGGCGTTATCTACATCATGAGCTGAATAAAAAATGTAGGCATTGCCGGCCGGAGTCATAAACTTAATTAACCTTAAAATCATATTAGGAAATCCGTACTGAACTCACCATCAAGCTTTCGATAGCTGTTTTCTCTTCAAGGTTGATAGGACTGGCAGATCGAGAGTCTGGAGGTGTCATTTGGTAGTATGAGCCGAAATACGCATTGCTGTAAGCGAATGGGCCTTGTGTAGGCTGTGGCGAGCAGAACAGACCTTTGCCAGCATGTGCTACAGATAAAGGATAGGCATTAAGTTTACATCAAGCGGTAAAGATTATTAGTATTTTGACTTACTTGGGTCCAGAGCAGAATCGAGAAGTGCATTGATGTGGTTCAAAATTGAACTTTTGTCTTCTCTAGCTCTCTGTGTCTGTCAAATAAAAATAAAGCGTTAGCGGTATAATCAATGTTTACCATAATTAGAATATTATTGTGCTGTACCATGAAACATTCCCTCCTGACAAGACTGCGTACGATGAAATTTAAATAAAATAAAATATACATTCATAACAACGGTCGAGTGGAAACCGCACTAGCTCGGATCACAGTTCCCTTTAAAATCATTCCCAATTTCAAGCCGTCAGCAATATCTGTGACAGGTATCAAAACGGTTTTAAATCTCTGTTTAGAAAGACCTTCTTTGTTGACGTTCATCTCGAAACCAAGTACTTGTATCCCACGAACACTTAACTATTTAATTTATTTATTTAAAGTTTTTCTTTCAAAAACGGCTACTTTTCGAATTATTTGCTGCCAGTCGCGTCTACCAAATACGCAATGTTCAAAACCAGAGGTCAAACATGCAGGCTGTGACTATGTATCCTAAAGTTTTGGCTTAACGGTTTACTATACCTCTTGTGCCATTTTGCTTGAAGTTAAAGTCTCCTGTTBAACGCTACACAACTTCTGCATCGTTCATCGTCGTCGTCTTCATATTTGAAGCAAGATCTGCACGTGGGAATTTGCAGAGTGTGTCATAGTTCCTTGAATGTAATTGGTCTAAAAAAACAATGCAGCCATACGCAAACCCCGCCAAAACTTTTCACATCAAAAGCTCACACTTGTGAGAATTTGGCATAAATCCAGTAAAAACTATAAACATCACAGCATAAATCTTTCAAGGTAATTCATTTTATTTTAATAGAGCAGCGGTAATACCTTGTTTGGACGTCAAAGATCAATGGGGACTGTGCTCGTTTATTATTGCCAAGAGGGTAGCGATGTTTAGTTCATTAAAAGCAGCAAGCACCCCCATAAATTAAAATAAATAATATTCTGTACCCCCCCTCCCCTCCCCCACTGTGGTCCTTTGGTAGAAATTGTGCCCCTCCCACCTCCCAATTGATTTTTCCGAAGAAAAATGCACTTCCCTATATACGATGTTTTTAAAAAATATACCCTTCCCCATGTATTAACGAAAAGTCCCTTCAATCCGACGTGAAATACGTAACAGAAGTTACTTGACAAAAGACGAATAGTGARCTAGAAGCGATCCTGAGGGTCTCCCCACCCAGTACATCGCCCATTACACGTATCGATACATTATCATACCAAATCTATATTAAACATATCCTCTTTTTTAATCCCACTTTTTTCCTCGTTTCTTGCCCAATTAGCAAACAAATTCTTTGTTAAACAATTCTTTTATTCGCAAATATTTTACTTTTGACAAAATTTAAGCTAATAAAAATAGACAAATAACGTTTTTTTTTTGAAAAGCTACCACACCTACGACAATGGAAATGAATTGCCGAGGGTCTTTCTTTACCAATAATTTAACCCACTATCACTCCCACCCATTCATATCTACATTTATCTTTTCCATTCACGACTGYTAACTATCCTTAAAATAGGTTTGTCTGCTACATGTACTGTTATTTGMATATCAAAATACTGTAAAAACGTATGAATATACTGAGGACATGCTACTGTAAATACAGTCTTATTCTAATAGTTAAAAATTCAACTACCTAAAAATAGAGTCATAATATATATACTACATCACAAAAGCTTGCAGTCGAGTAAGAGCATTCAAACCGTCAATTTTACTAGATCAACACACCTTTGTAGCTAGTAGTTTAATGTCCTTGTTCTAATGAACACTTTTTAGTATATTGAAAATATACCTATACCTTGTAATGCGTTTTCTATTTCATCCATTTTAATTTAAAATTAATCTCTCTTTCATTTTCCATTTTAATTTTTCTTTTTCATTTTTCAGTAATTTAGGAAAGTARTGCAACAACTATTTCACTTAGTAACAGTCCTTTATCAATATCAATTCCTCTTTGTATCATCTCCTGAAAACAAACGTAGATTACATAGTTAGCGAATTGAAATGATAACCAAATAAAATGAACTAATGAAAGGGAAAAATGAATGAACGARTAAATGAATGAATAAATAACAAATGAATGGAAAGAAAATTGAAAAGATCAATAAATGACTGAATTGATAAGACCGAGTGAATAGATAGACGAATAAACGAACAAATCGAAAAAATGAACAATAGAATTTCGATATAAATGACTGTTTTTCAATCAATGAGCCCATACCTAAGATACGATTTCCCTTTCTTCAAAATGCCCTTAATAGGTTTAGTTAGAGATTTTTGACCTGTGATAGGTCTACYGCTATTAATACTACTATAAATACGACTTCTTTCGATAGAATGCGACAATAAACTCTTTTCTTTTGCTCTTTCTAGTTCGTTTTCAAACTCGCTGATTCCTCTAAGTTGATCGCTCTGTAGTCGCAGACTCTGTAAATGAAAAGACGTTTGAAAAAATGAAACAGTTCAATTCACATCAGAATTTCTCCAGTAAAAGTCGACCTAGCGATTATGTCCTGTAAAGTAGTCTAGTTTCACAACTAAAAGTAAGGTGAGATAGTAAAATAACTATACCTGTTCCATGGCATATCGTAATCTCTTCTCGAAATCCTTAACCCGTTTTTGTTCATCTGCAGGAGAAAGGTTGCGTCTTTTACCAAAATATGTACTGCTAGATGTATTGCTACTTTCACTYGGTAACTCAACGGGCGTGGTGGGCTCTGATTGGCTAATGTTACCACTTCCGCTTGGACTAGAAGGAAAKCCTTTGCGCTGTGACGTCTGTGTTGGGGTCCTTTGTTTACCAGTTTCCAGGATTTGGCTGAAGATAACAAGATGTCAAGTTAGCATATCTAAAAGTATTTGCAAGTTTATTTTGAAAGATTTTTGAGTGAAATTCTCTTATGAGTCACTACACAGATATATTAGTTACCTGAGTCGTTTCCAGTCTTGCTCGTCTAGCTTGGCCGGGACTAAAGGAGAAGGCTGTGCATGTTCTACGTTTTCTTTAGCTGGTGGTGGTGGCTGTGGGGGAGGTTGTGGTTCAAGACCCTCGTTATCAAACACAACATCCAGAACGTAGTATAGAGCAATCAGAAAACAGAACCCACTAAACAGTAACAACACCTAGAAATGTAAAAAGGTAACTATAAAGTCCTGCTTTGTAGAGGTGACATGCTCGTGCGCTTTTAGAAATATTTTGGTCGCCGCATGAAAACCAGATACTTTTGCGCAAAAATATGAGCTTATACCTCGTTTTCAAGCGCGTGCCTATGTTTTTTTCAGCTATCCAAAGCATACCTTCAACGTTCGTTCCGATAGCACTTCTTCATTTCGTACTGACGAGGGGGGAGGTGGACAAGGAGGGGTTTTGTTACTATGGAGGAATTTACCGCTGATTCCTTCATCCATTACACTGCAGGCACAACAAGATGTCGGTTAGCAAGAGGAAGGTCATTGTGTAGTGGAATTAAGTTAACTTACGCCCGTCTCTGTTTGATGTCTTCAGATGTCATCGAAGATCCGTAAAGCGTTARTTTCCAATTCTGAACATACCCACGTGCAAGATCATTACCTAATATGGCAAAAAGTATGATAATTATATATAACTATTTTAATACCCTTCAACAGAGATACATGTACAACGAATAAAAATTACTACATATCAGTTAAGCGAAATAATAAGGGAAGCACTTACCATTATCAATAACTACTAGTTTCCAGATTCCTTCTGGCGTCTCTCCCCAGCATCTCACGGTAGAAAACGTCCAATCTACAAAACCTTCGGGTGACCTGGGGGAAAGCATCAAATAAATCAACCAATTAAAACTGTCAATCAACAAGACGTCAAAGCTTACCTGTCGTGTTTTCTTGCAGTAGCAAGCATGGATGGAGTCCCATGGGGTGACGTCAGTTGAACAATTAAGTTGCCACGGTAACGATGACGGATATTTACCTACAGTGGATTTAATGAATGTTTAAAATTAAAGGGACGACAATAATAAACCCGGAGGCACAATGCCCTTACCGTGACAGTAACATGTTCTAGCGTGACGACCTCTGCTACGTCATCTCTCGTTACTACAAATAACAAAGGGTGTTAGAACACGGAATACAAGTGACCAAAAACTTTATAAATTACCATAGAAACTCTCCACCATCTTGTTAGACATAGGTATTGCTCTATTGACATTGATTGTAGGAGATGACCATGACGTCATCCAGGGAACTGCCTTCCACATCTAAAACAATGAAACATGGTGTTAAGACCAGAAGTCACTATTCATAGAGCTAGTATAGAGTTTATTTACATGTGCAGTAGTAGCCAATCGCCATGAGTCAAGTACACCAAACCCATACTTATGACTGTGATGATATCCAGCATTGTTGGTGTAATAGTCGTCGTCCTCCACTGTATGCTATAAACAACATATCCTCAAATTATTCACTGTATGCTATAAACAACATTATCCTCAAATTATTCACTGTATGC